CAGAGAGGAAGATGCCTCCCAGGCCGTCCTCAGGGGAACTATGGGGCATCCACCTGATGCCTCCTAGGTAGAGGATGCCAAATTCCGTTTTGAGACTCATGTAATTTGCGTCCCCAAGCACTTGAGAATCAATCAATGTGTATCTGCAGGATCTTGGTGGATTGCCTGTTGCCCAATGGAATGATTCTAACCTTGGAGTGCCTCCGTGAGGCCACTCTCATTACCATCAAACATGAGCTCTTTAAAGAAGCCAGAAAGTATCCCCTCCATCACCTCTTGCAGGAGGAGACGTCTTATATCTTTGTCAGTGTTACTCAGGTAAGCGTGCTTCGTCCCTTCTTATGTATTCTGGCAGACCAGTCATCCATTAAAAAAGGGCCCAAAGACTTGTGCTTTTGTAAGAAGAGCGGGAAAATTGTCTCCGAATGGCAAAGCTGCGACTCCCGCTTTAGTGCAAAATATGTGGGAAAACTTCCAGGACTGGTGTTAGAAATCTAACCTAAAACAAAGACCGACTCAGTTTTTCTGTCCATAGGAAGCCGAGCGGGAGGAGTTCTTTGATGAGACACGAAGGCTGTGCGACCTCAGATTGTTTCAGCCTTTCCTCAAGGTCATTGAACCAGTTGGCAACAGAGAGGAAAAAATCCTGAACAGAGAAATCGGTGAGTCCCAATAGAGCCACCGAGAGCCGGTTCTGTTCCCTTTTGGCTCCTTAATGCAAAGAGTAAAGAGGAAAAGGAGAAATGCTCAGGCTGCATATTAGCAAAAAAAAAAAAAAAAAAGTCCTTTGAGCAGCACCTACAATGTTTCATGTGAGAAATACAGAATCTATATTTCTATAGCGCTTTCACAACAACTGCAGCTGTAACAAAGCGCTTGACAGGACCGTTCACTTAAAATAACAAACTACGGTAATACAACACAACACATAGCATGAGACGTAGACAGTCATGCAATCGTAACCACTATTCCGGCATACGCCTTGTTGTTTGAAGCAGTTATAGCTGGAAAGAGGAGAGAAACAAACGTGCATGACGTCTCACATGTCTCACATGTCGGCTACAAGCTAAGTTTGAAATTATTTAGCTTCTCTTGAAGCTAGAGAATTTCATTTCTCTTGCAACCTGTTAAGGTTGAAACAAAAAAGTTTTTTTCTGACAGGTTTTGCCATCGGTATGCCAGTGTGTGAGTTTGACCTGGTGAAGGACCCTGAAGTCCAGGACTTCAGGAGAAACATCCTGAATGTGTGCAAAGACTCTGTGGAGCTGAGAGATGCCAGTGGACCCCACAGCAGAGCCCTCTATGTGTATCCACCCAACGTCGAATCCACGCAAGAACTCCCCAAACACATTTACAACAAATTGGACAAAGGTGGGCGGAGTCACATCACGAAAATACGACAGCAGTAATTGACAATTTTTTTTGCTGCTTGCCATTTGTTGGATTACTAAAGTATAAAAAGTAGGGGCTTCATTGATCATTTCCTCACCTCAACGTTGACCTGTTTGTCTCTGGCTGTTTTAGGTCAAATTATTGTTGTCATTTGGGGGATTGTTTCTCCAAATAACGACAAACAAAAGTATACATTGAAGATCAACCATGACTGTGTGCCTGAACAGGTCAGTGAATATCTTCTAACACACACGTGCGCGCGCACACACATACACGCAAAGGTTGGGGGATACGGTTGTATTTTTAATTTAAAAGAACATCTGGTTCGCCGTCCAGCATAGCCTGTATTGTCATTGTCATAATGGCTGCTTTATCAAACCATCAAACAATTGCCAATCGTTTGTTTGTTGTTTTTTATCGCAGGTGATTGCGGAGGCCATTCGGAAGAAAACGCGCAGTATGCTGCTCTCCCCTGAGCAACTGAAGATGTGTGTTCAGGAATATCAGGGTAAATACATCCTCAAAGTTTGTGGCTGTGACGAGTACCTGCTGGAAAAGTATCCAATCAGCCAATATAAGGTGAGTCACATGTTGGCAGAGTTTGCATCATCAAGTCAATTTGGTCAGACAGCTTCCCTTGAAGTCATTTCTCAAAAGATGACTTCTCGGAACTCTTCTGACCGATGACCTGAGAACCCCATCAGACTGCCCGCCTTTTACATGCGCCCTTTCTCTCTCTGTGTCTCTGCCACCAGTACATCCGCAGTTGTATCATGCTGAGCAGGATGCCAAACCTGATGCTGATGGCCAAGGACAGCCTGTACACCCAGTTGCCTACTGATAACTTTGTCATGCCTTCATACTCGCGTCGCATCTCCACGGCGTCATCGTACATGAACGGCGAGGCGGTCGCCAAGTCGCTCTGGACCATCAACGGAACGCTGCGAATACGGATCCTCTGTGCCACCTATGTTAACGTCAACATCAGAGACATAGACAAGGTGGGAAGAGACATATTACACGGGACAAATACCGCTACCGTATTTTCCGTACTAAAAGGCGCACCTGAAAGCCTTCCATTTTCTGAAAAGCTCACAGCGCGCCTTAAAACTCCAATGCGCCTTGTGTGTATGGTCATAACGGTAATATGTCAACCCCAAAGTGTCTCCTTGCTCGAGACATGCTGACAACGCAGAGTTCAAACTTAAGGCGACCGGTTACGCAGTTAAACATGGAAATACAGCAGCGGCAAGAGAGTTCAATGTTAACGAGTCAACGTTATAACTTGCTGTTGGTTAAGTGAAATGTGTTGCTGCTTTATTAAATAAGTTTTACTGACATCTGATCGTGCTGTTGATGTTTTCTTTAGTGTAGCTCCATCTAGTGGATGCATTGTAGATTGCGTCTTATAACGCGGTGCGCCCAATGTATGACAAAATAGGCCATTCATTGAAGGTGCGCCTTTTAGTGTGGAAAATACGGTAGTTATTTTTCGCATTATTGCCGTATTATTTTTAAACGGTATTACTTTCTTTGTAAATCAAATTGATGTTTTATACACTATCGTCGTTCAAATCTCATGATGCCGGTCTATTCTTTTAGATTTATGTGAGAACGGGTATTTACCATGGAGGAGAACAGATGTGCGACAATGTGAACACGCAGAGAGTGCCCTGCTCTAACCCCAGGTAACATTTTTTTGCCAGCTTCCTGTCGCTTTCACACGCTCACTTTAGATTCCTTATTTGCAGGGGCATTCAACGTTTCATCGCATAAAACCCTTCTGAGCTCGGTGGGGTTATCATATGAAATTGTTATTATTATTTTTTTTTTTAAATCCACCTCTTTTTTCCTACACACGAGCACCGTCCAGTTTCATTGCAAAACCCTCGCGTCTTTGTTTTTCGATCAAGCGTCCCCGTCAGGCAATAGTTCCCAACACTCCTCTCAATTGTTGTGCGTCTGCAGGTGGAATGAGTGGCTGACCTACGACATGTACATCCCAGATGTCCCGCGAGCTGCCAGACTTTGCCTTTCCATTTGCTCAGTCAAAGGCAGGAAAGGAGCAAAAGAGGTACAGTCGAGAGCAATACGGGACAATTGCCGCATGCCGCCCGTGCTGCGCTTTCAAATTATTGATGTTCAGGAGCTTGTTTGGAACGAGCTGCACTACTCACTGTTTGATGCTTTAATATGAGCAACTTTTTTTTTTTTTTTTTTGAGTTGCACTGTAGTAACATTCAGTTGTCATATCATGACGTCTGTTTAAATGTTGGCGTTTAGCGAAGGTGAATTCGAGCTGAGGGAGCATCTCCGGTTCTACTTAATTTCTCATCAAGGTGTGTGTCGGCAGAAAACGTCATCAGAAGGAGGCGGACTTTTTCCATTTGTATCAACACTCAAGACGTCTGTTAAGAAGACCACTTTGTGTCTTCTATATTTGTAGCGGAAACGTCAGTCTTGAAATTGGTCTGCCTGTTGCTAATGTGTCAAACAGGAACCATCCGTCCGATTCGTCCAGCTTATGCTGTTTACGCTAAGTAAACCTACAATGTAACTGAAAGTATATCCCCTCTGTCAGCATCAAATCAAACACTTGCTTTTGGACACTGATTCGTGTTCTCTTCTGTCTCTCGCTGGTGGAAACACTGGTCCGGCCAAACGTGCGTGCGTGCGAACGTGCACGCGCGTGCCCGGATTGCGTGAGCGAGTGTCAGACATTGATATCGTAAACGGACACCGGGGGGGTTCGTGCTTTCCCCTGCTGCGCCGTGCCAGGATGAGGTTAGGTTTGCGGATGTTCTTTCATGCGCCGCCCGAGTGAAAGAGAAACGCCTCTCAGCGGCAGCCTTTTGTTCAAGCGTTTACTTGAAAGGGACACAATTTGACCGGCCGCCAACATGAAATGCGCTCCACCTCCCCTACCCGTTTATCACCAGCATACCTCGCTGACCTTCAGTGAAGACTCGCTTTGGTAGATCACGACGTTATCTTCAACCTTTTTTTTTTGGTTTCGGTCGACGTGCCAATAAAACCAAATTGTTGGATCATTTCAAAGCATGAAATTGTACACTGTATATTGTATTTGTGCACCATATTCAGAAAATGTAGGCAACCTCCCTTCTCACTTTGCCTACCTTCACCCTTTTTAACTAATCTTGCGACCCATGTCAAATGTCGTGTTTGGTTAGTTTTTTTTTTCCCATGTTGCGGGCCACTAAAAAAAGGATGGTGGGCTACAAATGGCCCCCAGACTGTAGTCTACAATATCTGCATGGGTCGCTAGTACTTTTCAAGCCCCGTTGTTTCCAAACTGGAGTGGCCGTATCTCTGCCAGGATTAACAATCCTAAATTGGAATTTCTGTTGTGCATCCTGGATTCACGGCATTCCAGATCTGCACCAAAACTCATTGGGTCCTTCCTCTTACCCGATTCCTTCTTGCCGCACCCCCTTTTTTTTTTTTTTTTCTTTCAGGAGCACTGTCCACTGGCTTGGGGCAACGTCAACTTGTTTGACTACACACACACTCTGGTGGCAAACAAGATGGCACTCAACCTGTGGCCTGTTCCTCATGGCCTTGAAGATCTTCTCAATCCCATCGGGGTCACAGGCTCCAACCCCAATAAGGTAAATGATCAGCTCGTCCCTGATACCATGCATACAACAGGATAGCCCGCTTAGTTGTCTTGAGGTGTCAGAATACATTCATTGGCTCGGTAGAATTCAGTGTTGGTTCTCCTCTAGGAGCCTGAACAAAGTCCTTTTGAACACCTCTTGCAAACCTTTTCATGGATCTTGCCTGATACTCACACTGTGACCGTGTTGTGCAGGAAACCCCGTGTCTGGAGCTGGAATTTGACCACTTCAGCAGTCCGGTTAAATACCCCGATATGAACGCTGTGGAGGATCATGCGAACTGGACCATCTCGAGAGAACTTGGCTTCAACTACAACCTCTCGGGACAGGTATCAACGACAGATTCAAACAAAGTTGGACACGGTTCATTGACTGGCGATGGGTGTTTTTCACTTGAAATATTTCATCATCATGACGAAATACGAGTGAAAGCACATTTAGCATTCACATGGCCAATGCAGAGGACTGCAAGGAATCAACTTTGGAGTGTGTGTCTTGGAATACTGTAATGCACTTGACTTTGGAGTCGGCCAATCCTCCATGAGTCCAGCATAGCCTGTATTGTCATTGTCATAATGGCTGCTTTATCAAACCATCAAACAATTGCCAATCGTTTGTTTGTTGTTTTTTATCGCAGGTGATTGCGGAGGCCATTCGGAAGAAAACGCGCAGTATGCTGCTCTCCCCTGAGCAACTGAAGATGTGTGTTCAGGAATATCAGGGTAAATACATCCTCAAAGTTTGTGGCTGTGACGAGTACCTGCTGGAAAAGTATCCAATCAGCCAATATAAGGTGAGTCACATGTTGGCAGAGTTTGCATCATCAAGTCCATTTGG